TCCCACTCCTCTAACTTCATGTGCTAGTAAACTGCTGCTTGCTGGGCAGGCGGCTGCTCAACAAATAAGCCAGCTTCATGTGAGAGAAAGAGAGCAGGGAAGAGTTGCCAGCGCATAATCTAGCCAGAGTGTAGGCACTTTATCAGAAAGACTGACCAGAATCTCTTGCAGTTTGTCTTAAATTATCTATTCCAGTGCAAATTGTCAAAAATTTCCCTTTCCACTAAGCAGCAGCAAGATAAGCCCAAAAATAGCACCAAGCTAGGCCAGCCTGCATCACAGAAAGGGAAGGAGAGAGCCTTTGTGATGGCAGGCCTGTGTCCCTTCCCTCTACACAGGTCACATAGGGTGCTTTTCAGAAATACACTGATGTGAACATCTTCTGGCTTTCTGTTAACCAGCTTTGGAGTCATCCCCAGCACCCCGCTAGCCATTCATACTCCTCTGATGCCAAACCAGAGTATCGACATCTCCCTTCCTCTCAACACCTTGGGACCAGTCATGAAAATGGAGCCTCTCAACAATCTCCAGGTAAGAGGACACTGAAAGACCCATGAGGGGAAGGGGGGGGAGATCAGTCACCCGTCAATCGTTTTATTCATCTGATCTATAGTAGATGTTACACCTGCTTGGGGGATAAGGATTATGACCCCAAGTGTACTAGGGAAACTGAGCAATGGCTTTCCAGGGGTGTGGAGATGACTGCTGGCTATGAGTCTGTTAGGAGCAGAGGGGTGGGCACTGTTCTTTTGTAGCAAGCACTTATAGGTAAGTCTTCAATAACTGTGTTTTTTACCTCCTTTTCATCCCAAAAAAATCCTTGAGCATTTTGCAACCTAAACTAATAGTGAGGCATACCCTTGCACCATTGTGAATGCAGTGACCTCTGGAGTGGAATGAAGCACCAGGTCAGGGTGCACAGACATGGTAAAAGGTGTAGAACAAGAGGTGAAGAAAGATTCTTGGTTTAATTGGAACAAGAAAGTGGTTGCCAAGCATGGGCTTTGCTGCAATACTCAATCACTCCTGAGGCCTCAGTGTAACCCCTAATCCAAAGCTTTACATAGCCTTATGATTGTATGGGGTTCATTGTTGGAATCTTTGCAACAACCCAGACTAACTGGAAAAACACACACCATGTTGCATATTGTCGATGACTGCCCACTGATTAAGTTCAGTAATGGACTACAGGAACTGTACATGGCCATTGAGGATGCTATCGCATGGCTCAACGATTATGCACACGCTGGCTACCTATGGGGTTCAGGAACTTCCGCTGTCCTATGGCTAGTTTTAAAATTACCCCATCTCCCCAGCATAATTATGGCAGGAAGGCCTAATCTGTTTAACCTCTACATCCAATTCAAACTATGAGAACATCTACTCTCTCCTGTATCTGAGAGTCATGACCTCTGAAGTGACTGATGATGGATAAATGATGATGGTCTTAGAAGAACAAACGAGGGAGTTGGCCCACAAAATACGGGGTTCCACAACATCCAGGCATACCTAGCGGTGGTAATATATAGTGCTGAAAAGTCACTGATGCAGCAAAAACAAGCAGAGCTATAAATAGGGCAAGTTGGGCTTATGATGATTCCTCCTTTACCTGAAGAAAATTTTGACCTCCCATCTGTGTGTGCTCTCTGAGGGAGTTAAAAATAATAACCCCCTTGTGTCTTGTCAGTATTTCCAATACAAACCCTGCCCTTTTTTGTTCTACATGAACATGGATATCCAAATCTGATCCAGAAAACATGCATTTATAGGCATTCCAGAGTGTAAGGCATGGGGCATTCCCCATGGGTAGGCTTGCTAAATAGTGCTGGCCTCAAATACAAAGGAAATGTCCCCATGTTGAGCTCTAATACAAAGTAGGAGGTGGCATGAAGTGTTGGTCAGACTAAAGGAACCTGCAGGAAAGGTGGCTGCTGCTGAATTGATTAAATATTTATCAAGCACTGTCAACATACACAGTGCCTTACAAAGACTGTTGGTTCATTCCCTGTCCAAAAGAGTTCAGTCAAAGACAAACACGACACAGGACTAGTTCTAGAAAGGGAAGATAGTAGTGTAATGCTGCCTTAATGATGTTGTTTTGTGGATTTCAGTTATCAAGCCCTTACAGTTGTGACTGCATTGCCTTTGAAGGGGGATCTCGTATCTCACCAAGCAGTGCCAGGGGAAACCAGGAAATCCAGTGAATGCTTTGGAGTATTTTACAGTTCCCTTAAATTAAGAGGACCAGACATAGAGATGCTGAGGACATTGACACTACTAGATTTAACTGTTAGCCTGCATGATAATGGCCAGGCAGCTTCATCTCTTGTATGAAAAGCAGTTTCGCTCCATCACTGGAGTCCTGCAGTTGCTCTCTGGGTACACAGTGGGATGAAGGTGTGATTGCAGGCTGTTCTAGTAATACTTGTGCTCAGTTAATACGCAGAAAATAAGAGCAGTGATGGTGTGGCAGCATGGGGTTTAGTGCGAGTTTTCATTCAGGGTCCCTGCAGATTTTGTACCCTGCCCAGTACACGGGACAGTTTCTGCTTCATTCAGCATCTTCACTGCTGCTGTTACTTTTGGTAACTAGATTAAGCTATTGCAGGTATGTTAGCAGCTGGTACAATCCTCTTCACCTGTGTAAACATATACAAGGAGTACCTGCAGACTATACCTATACCTTCTGTTTCCTGGAATTTGGCTAGCTTAGTTAACCCCCTTGTGTGTAATTTGTTACACACACATCTCTGTATCCTTGTTGTAGAGACTTGTGGTATCCAGAGATGCAGGTAAATCATTCTTCAGTCTATCTCAACCACTAAGTAGGGGTGAGTGAGAAAAAGAAGGTCTTGAATACGCAGCCTATTAGTTTTCTCTTCTCTGGTACCGAGATAGGATGAGGCATTTCCCATTTAGAGGCAGTAGTTCTTTTCTCCTGTGTTTTTTTTTTAAATGTTTAAATTGTAACTTTCATTTGCCTGAACAACTGTTTTCTCCTTGACTGTTTCATTCTGAGGCCTATGACTTATTAATGAGTCTATGGGCAAATAGCTAGAAATAGCTTCACTGCTTAGTTCAAGAGGCTCCAGATTGTCACCGTGCCAGGAGCTGGTGCAGTAACTGCTTAGGCAATGAGCAGTCCCAGACCTCTGAGCCTCTTGGCAAAGTTACAAGCTCAGAGCACATGGACAGTGAATGAGCTATGTGTTCTGTCATCCCTATGGGGGCTTTTTCTGTTTTGAGAGAGGTTTGATTGTTTATGTGGTGTCCACTTCATAGTGACATAGTTGCAGGCTCCTGCAGAAGAAGTATGCATATCAGAAGAACTATGCATGTCAAGGTGGTTATCATATCAGATTGGGTTAACTGTTGGGACTACTGCCACTTCATATGGACACGATTCAGACATCCCTATAACTTAAATTCCAAATCTCTCTTCTTGGTATCAGAAACAAGGAACTGTCCAACAAGTCTCAATAAGACATCTGGAAGCTGCTGCTTCCCTTGATCAGAGAGGAACTGAGATATTTGGGTTACCATGAAATCTTCAAAGCATCACAACACAGGGTTTTGGTTTTGTTTGTCTTTTTCCTAGCAGGATTTGTTTTCCTACAAAAGCAAAACAAATAGAAAACACATGAGGAAACCTCCAGTTGCCTTATTTGGAGATGAGCAGAGTATTCGTTAGTGCCAGACCTGCTTGCTAGATTGCTAGCTAAGTCATTGTCACAGAAGTTGGCTGTCCTCTTACAATCAGGAAAGCTGCCATATGGAGTAATAGTATTTCTGCTGAGAGTTGAGTCACGATAGCTGATGCCAATTAAGAATACAACCATTATTCTGCAGATAGCAGGGGATTTGATGGAGATCTGTCATGTCCTGATAGTATTAAGCACTGGAATTGTATGTTGTGTTTTCACACACAAATAATTACTGCTAAAGTACTGAAATCACTATAAGTGACTTGTAACAAAATATAAGGATGTTTTGTATTTCTCTATCCCTGTGTTCATTGGAGAAATTAAAATGCTCAGTGTGGTTTATGAGGTGACTTTCTTTCTGTGCTTGGAATTGCCGTTGGGAACTAGAGAGAGGGTATGTTTGAATGGGAGGACCTTGCATTCAGATTTTATCCTAGACTTTTGTTTTATGACCAGAAAAATAAGTCCTCATGTAAACAAACTGATCTCTAGACTTCCTGGGCATGTTAACTAGAAACTTCAAAGACCAAGTAGTTCATTCTCTAGGCAACACTTTCAGAAGTAATCATTTTAAGTTATTCATGTTGTAACTTCAGTGAAATAATGTAGTTCTTCACCAGTGCAGTTGAGTTAATTCATGCCACTTTCCCAATCAAAGAGAGCAATTAAAACATTTGACAAGTTAATAAAAATCTGCTAAATTGAAGGACTGAATCTTGTTTGACGGGTCTTCTTGCACAAAATCACAGCACTGATAGTAGACTAGGCTGTGTTTGCCAGCAGTCCTGCAGTGTGTGAGAGACAATGGAGAGCAAACTCCTTCCCTGCCCATTGCCAAACTGGTGTTTAGAAATGGTTGTGACCAACTGATACATGCAATCAGCCAAGTTCAGTACCTGTTGTAGCGTGGTGTGGTTTGACCCTTAATCAAAGGATGAAGCTGTCCCGCGATTTAAAATTAAACAGACTGCAGAGCCTATTCTGGTACTTCTCATTTGTACTTTTATTACATCATACAAATACAAAGCTGCTTTTGGAGTGCACCCTTTTAAGCCTGTTGCTAAACAAAGTCTTTTTTACTCATTTGTTTTTATCCTATTTACACTGGCTGTAGCTGCTTAGGAGCATTTTGAAAATGTTTTGTCACTTTGCATGGGCTACCTGGCCTTTGACTTGAACTCAACTTGCACAAAGCTGGCTGTGCCTAGGGTGTAGATATAAATAATACCAGGCTTTTGCCTAAACATGTGAAAACAGTACTGACTTTTAGAAGTGTGGTAGCCTTGGCTTGGCTTGGCTGTACATCTTCTCCCCCTGCCCCCACCCTTTTAAGAAGTGGGTCGTGGGCGACTGTTGTCGCCTTAGTCAGCAACCGGGGGGGTAGCCGATCTTACTGACTGGGGGGGGGGGGGGTGCCTCCCCAGCTGGCACTTGCAGGGGGGCACAGGCACTCCAGCCTGCGGGGGGGCCCCTCCCCCCCAAGCAGCGAGTGCGGCCTGTCAGCTGGTGCATGTGCACCCACTATGCATTGCCACTGAAGTGGGTGATACTCACCCAGAGATTTATAGAAGGTGTCAGTTGCTGGAGACCACTGACATTTCTGAAACTCTCTAGCCTCGTATGTACTGGGCCTCACTTACTACTGCTTGTGATTGTTTGTCCAGACAGTAACCACTTGCACTAGTTGACTTAATTGAAAACAAGCTAGAGAGGCTTGCAGTGCCTTAATGTACCTGCTCAAGCCTGGAGTACTGACATTCTCCTGTGGTAAACACTCTAAATCGACAATCAATGCATTCCCTTCCTTAGTATTACTTCCTATCAATC